AGTGTAAGAGTTTTCGCTATACCCATCCCAAAGGTAGAAAGAACAAAATGACAACAGTAATAGGAGAACCTAGGGGGAACCTGTCCGACGTGGCTCAGTGGGTTGGGCATCATCCTGCAAAAAGAAAGGTCACCAGTTCGATTCCTGGGCAGGGCACGCGCCTGAGCTGCAGGTGTGGTCCCCGGTCCGGGCGCTCACGAGGGGCAGCTGATGGATACTTCTCTCTCACCTGGGTGTTTCTCTCCCTCTCTTTCTCCCTCCCTTCCCTTCTCTCTAAAAATAAGTACATAAAATATTTTTTAAAAATATGTGGGGGGGCGAGAGCCCTAGTGGAGCAGTTGGTAGGAGCATGGTCTCGACCTGCCAAGATTTGGGTTTCGATCCCCAGTCATCAGGACACATACAAGCATCACAAGGAACAACTGATGAATGCATACATACGTGGAACAACAAATCCGTGTTTTTCTCTCTCTGTCTCTCTGAAGTCAATGAATAATTTAAAAAAATAAGTGAAAGAACTCAGGGTTCAAACCCCAGATCTGTCGCTTACTTGCTGTGTGGCCCTCGGCAAGTGACTCAACTAACCTCTCCGTGCCTGGGTTCCCCTTTTCTGGAGTGGGCTGTGAAGCCCTAATGAGCTCCTCTAGGTGTGGTGCTCAGCCCCGGGCCTGACGCACTGCGAGCGCTCCCTCCGCGTGGTGCTCGTGCCGTATTTCCTCGGGTCACACAGGCGTGCGTTCGTCATCCACTCAGCAAAGCTTCTCTGCGTGTGTACCTCCTGTGCTCAAGACATGAGGCACCAGGGACCCGGCAGTGACTAAAGCAGACAAAATTGCCACCTGCGTGAGGCTGACATTCCGGTGGGAGAGTCTCAACAGAGAAACCGTGAACAGTGACCTACGTGCTTTGTCGGTGGCGCCGAGTCTGTGGAGAACAACAGGGGAGGGCACTGGAATGCCAAGGTTTGGGGGCGGGGGGAGCTGGCCAAGTGGCTCTCTGGGGGGGCCATCTTCCTGGCAGCACTGTAAGTGCAAAGGCCCTGAGGCGGCAGAAGGGCCTCCTAGGCTGCAGGGAGTGAGGAGTGGGGGAGGGAAAGAGGCGTCTGCGCTGGGGCCAGCTCTGCAGGCGCCTGCGGGCCAAGGTGAGGACTCTGGCTTTCGCCTCGAGCAAGATTAGAGCCAAGTGTGTGAGTTAATATACATGTGATCTAAAAGGGCATTTGCAGCCTCGTCCGGGGACAGTGAAGACATTGTGATAGGGTGTGTTGATCACACCCACTGGAACCTCACATCTAATCCCTTCATGCTTTTAAATGAAAATTAAATAAATTTCCAAAACGTGTGAAGTTGACAATTTGAAAGCTAAAAGGAGCAAGGAGAATCCCAATCCCTGCCTACCAGAGTACCGCCCATGCCAGCTCCAAGGACACCCGTGAGTAGCTGCCAGGTCTCTAATGGGGCCCAGGTGTGCCCAGAGGGGTGGCCCTAGCCCCAGACCTGCCTGCCTGGATGTCGCATGGCGATCAGCTCTACAGCCGATTTATTTTCTGGACTCATTTGAAAGAAAAGCCCAGGGGAGGATCTCATGGCCTCACCAGGCCCTGTGGCCCCTGTCCCATCTCTCCCAACTCCCCCCACCCCACCCCCTCACCCCCAGCTCTGAGCTGCTGCTCAGGCAGAGGGGACGGCTCTTCCCTGCAGTAGGAAGCCAACCAGTAAAAACAGAAGGAATGATGGAACTAGGAAAGCCCCATTTGGCAGCCACCATAGTAATAACTGATTTAGGCAAAAATCACCAGTGAGGACTAAACCAACATGGGAGGGAGTTTGAGGAGCAACGGGCTATTCACATGGTCTCGGAATGTCTCCCCACAAGATACGGATTAAGCCCAAAAGGGGAAAAGGGGGAGCTCTCTCCAGGCGAAACCTGGCAGACACCACCTTCACCCAGGGATCCAAGTCGATGTCAGCAGTTATGGTTCAAACTGACCTCGTGTGCCTCCTGCCACCTTTCGCCCAGATGCGTACCGTTTCCGGGACCCTGCCAGAGGACACGACCCAAATTTAATCTTGAGGAAGCATCCGGAAAATCCGATTGGAGAGCATTCTACAAAATATCTGGCCCAAACGTTTCAAAAATGTCAAAGTCGCAAAATTCCAAGGAAGGGGTTGTCCCAGAATAAAAGAGCCAGGACAAGAAAATGCAGCCTGTGATCCTCAGTCTTTCCCCACCTGCACCCGCCAGTGGGCTTCGGACGTCGCTGGGACAGCGGAGAAGAGTTGGCCGTGACTGTGGGTTAGTCCCCAGCATCGCACCAACGCTAAGCTTCCTGATTTTGACCACCGCACTATGGTTATATGAGAGGAAGTCCTTGACCTTGACCAGTGCATGCTCTCTGAGGGTTCTGAGAAAAAGAAAACCTGGGTATGTGTCTGAGAAAGTGCAGACATGATAAAATGTTAACATACCAAAGAATCTGAATGAAAGATTCCAGTTTACCCTGCTTTTCTTTGAATGGGTCTGCCCCGTTGAAATTATTTCAAAATCAAAAGCTGTTGAGTAAATCTAAGACACCGTCTCCCTGCTTCCTCTCTCTTGTCACTGTCCACCCCATTCCATCTCCTGCAACCCCCGACCCCCAGAATGCTTTCGTTAGACGACTGTAAATCCTTCTAGAGTTTCCATAGGTGAATATAAATGAGAATAAATATCATGTGGGTTTCCACTCCACTTCTTCCCACAAAAGCAGCCTGTTCTGTGTGTTACTTTATTTCACTTTTTCACTTAGCAGTGCGGTTGTTCCATGTCAAGTTGGGCTGTTCTGTCCTCACTCTCTTTAAGCCCATCTCCACCCAGCCCTGACCCAGGGGGCCCAGCACCCCCTTCGAATGATCAAATCCCTCACCTGCCAGCACTCAGGTGTGCCCAGCACAGTACTGCTGGCCTACCTGCCACAGTGCTTCTTACATCGTCTTCCCCAAGAATCTACCACGCCAGGGCCAAGCCAGCTGGGCTCCCAGCTCGCTCCTCTCCTCCCCCTACCCTCTCACTCCATCCTCCACCAGAGGCTGTATAGGAGGGAAGCAGGTCTTGGCTCTCCGCACTTCAAAGCCCCAGCGGCTGCCCTCTGGGCTGCACTAGGATCCCGACTGACCACACAGGCTCTGCAGGATCTGGTGGACTCACTAACCCCACTCGGCCTCCCCAGCCCGCGGGCCTCTGGTCCTTCTCCGGGTTGGGGGGCAGCTCTTCCCAGCCTCAGCCTTTGCTCTTGCAGCACCCTGCCCCGACTGGAACTTTCTCCTCCTTCAGGCTTGCACTGGAATGTCAGCCCTTCCCAGGGCTCTGGCTCTCCAGCTCCCAGCCTGCCTTATCGGAGCCAGCCCCGCCCGTGGCTCTCCAGCACGTGCTTGCTTTAATTCCATCCTGGCACCGTCACCACTGTAGGAAAGCGGCTTGTTTATTTAATCATTCGGCTTGTTTTCTGTCTCCTAGCTAGAACGTCAGTCAGTTCCGTGAGAGCAGGGATGGTCCATCTGTCCATGGCTGTAACCCCAGGGCCTAGAACAGAACCTGGCACACACCAAGCTCATCAAAGCCAGAGGAAGGCGCTGTCATCACCCCATTTTATAGAGGCTGTAACGGGGGTCCAGGAGAGCCTTGCTCTGGGCACCCTGAGAGTCGGGGGCATGAGCCAGGCATACCTGGTTGGCAGAATAGAGACCGTTTCAAATGCTGGTGGAGGGTGTGTGTGTGTGTGGGGGGGGGTGGAGTGCTGGTTCCACCAGGCCGGTCCCTCTGAATAAAGTCAAGTTTTCATTCACCATCAACGTCAGCACCTACTGTGGGGTGGCTGTGAATGGCAGCCTAGGGACCTGGGACACAGTAGGCCTTCAGCAAATTGGTGCCGAGCCCCCGCATCCCCCACAACTCTCTAACTTTCCCCCAACTCTCTAACTTCCCTTCAGGGAGGCCGGCTACAATTTGGCGATTGTTAGAGAACTTTTTTTTTCTTTTGGGAGGAAAGCTGCAAGTCATTAAGGGCTGCTCCCGGCCTGCGGGTCACCATTTCCTGTTTAGAAGAAAGAATCATCTCTCCTTTGGAACATGAAGCTCCCCCCACCCCCAGCCTGACTCCGGGCTCTGGGCTCTGGGACGCCTGCACGCCTGCTCGGCTCCCCGCAGGAAACTGGCACCTTCAGCACCTTTTGTGCTCAGAGAGGACACTCATTTTCTCCTGGCCCCAGGAGGGCCCCAGAGGTGAGGTCATCACGCCAGCCCGCCAGCCAGGAGTGAATTATCCTGGCTCAGGACGCAAGCTGACTGTCTTCCCCGTCCTGTCCTGGAGCAGGAAGCTGAATGACCCCTACCCTTTGGCCTGGCTTCTCACCCTCCTGGCTCCAGCCAGACAATTTCCTTGCATCAAAGGCCATTTGGTACCCAGCAGCTAGACGGAGGTGTGGGTCCAACAGGGAGGCTGGAGCGGGACCCAGAGCCCTTGGAAACAGGAAGGACATCCTCTGCCCCCTTCTTGTTCATGGCGTTGCACCACGCTGGCTGGGAGAAGCGGCCGACCCCTCTCCCCAAGTCCTGCAGTGCTGGGCAGAGCCCCCAGCCTGGCCGATTGATGAGACCGAGGCAGCCGGCTTCTCGGCCTGTGGGCCTGGTCACCCTCAAAAGGGGACAATGGCAGAAAGGCCACATGCACAGAGCACAGGAACCCACGCTCACACCCTCACTGTCCAGCCGGCTACAGGTGTTTCCCAGCCTCCACATCACACAGGACACGGGGCTTAGAGGAAAATCCATTTGTACAAACAAGGTCCCTGATTGGCAAACCCAGGAGTCCAAAGTCACGTGATGTTCGAGAGGACATGATTTAAAGCTGTGTCGGGAACATCTGAGTTCCAAGAAGCCCTGCCCCCTCCCACCCCCGCAAAGGCCCTTTGAAATCCCCATTCCCCTAGAAAACCAAGCCTTTCTTATATATAAATTAACCGCTTTATTGAATTATCAATAAACTGTACATATAACTATACAAAATGTTTCCTTAGTACAAAATGTTGCTTGCAATATAAATACCAGTGTACCTTTAAAAATGTAAACATCTTCCTCCTGGGCCCACCTGTCAGGGCCCTGAAAATAGTTCTGGGAGACACATTGGTTGGGCCAAAGCACCCTGTACTTGGGCCCCTGACAAGTGATGGCAATTACTCACGTTCCCTTTTGAGACGCTGTTAAATTGCCCGAGAAACAGGTGCCACCGTGACAAACTGGAGGCTGAAATAGCTGCCCAGGCCCCAGGGCACCCTGGGGTCTAGACTGACCACCCCCACAGGCCCGTGGGTGCCCCTGGGGGTGGATTATTGCAGTTACTCGCACCTCCTGGAGAGGTGGCCTGAGGGTTTCTGGGGTGGGGAGGAGGGAGGTCCCCTGAGTGGGGCGGGAGCCTCCTATCAGTCTGTCTGTTGGCTTTTGTCCTGTAGCTTGAAGCAGCTATATCCAAACAGTTTGGATACACAAGCCCACACAGGAAGGCCCACTCCAGAATGCGGGAGCAGTGCCTGCCAGAGGGGCCGCCCTCCCAGCAGCGGTCCACAGAGCCAAATGAGGCCCCGGAGCAAACACAACTGGAAAGTGGTCCTCAGTGTCCATGGGGCCAATGCAGCTAACAGTCAGGCTCGGAAGGGAATTCCATGGTGGTGAGAAGGATTCGGGGATCCTTCCTTCCACAGCTGGGGGGAGGCCGCTGCATGGGGAGGGTCTGGAGAGGCAGAGGGAGCCTTGGGGAGTCAGCGGGGGCCCCCTGAGCAGCCAGACTCTTGGTGCTTGTGGAGCAGGGACATGCGGGAGAAGGTGCGGGAACAGGTCTTGCACTGGTACTTCTTGACGTCCGAGTGGGTCTGCAGGTGGGCTCGCAGGTTGGAGCGGTCGGCGAAGGCGCGGCTGCAGTGCGAGCAGGAGAAGGGCTTCTCCCCTGGGGAGAGGAAGGGAAGCAGGAGGCCGTCAAGAGACTGCTAAGTAGTTTGGGACGACAGCTGACATTTACTGAGATCCCTGCTCCTCCACCCCCAGGCTTCAGAGCCCTCCTCACCCCCGTGACCCAGGAGCCCTGTGACCCAGAAAAGCCAGGCCGTGCCCAGTGTCCAAAGGCCTGCTTTTTAATTGGAAGCTCTGGCCAATCAAAGCGCTTCACACTTCTCCCTCAATCCCCGCCTCGCCTCAGTTTAGAGGTGGTGGAACTGAGGCCCAGAGAAATTAAGCAGCAAGTGCGGGGCTGCCCAGGGGGATCCAAACAGCCTGACTCCAGAGACCTTGATTTTTACCCCTGCGCTGGCCACCTCTCAGTTAAGGAGGCTGTGGTGGGGGCTCCTTATCATCACTCCTGAATTCGCTTCATCTGGGAACAAGGCCCGAGAGGAGACGTGAAGGCCCTCCCCGGGCTCCCCAGCAAGCTGGGCCACTGCTCTGAGCCGAATGGAAGCTCATCACACTCAGGGTAATTTCAAGTCTCCATCAGCCTGAGTCCCTCGAGTGCAATGGCCTCCCCTGAATCCATTCCAAGCCTCCAGCCCAGAGGCCTCAGAAACCTTTTCTGTCGGGACTTGTTTACATCCCTCCCCACCTGTGACTCTCATGCCACCTGCTTGGCCCAGGCCTTTTTGTTTGTTTGTTTGTTATGGGCCAAGATTGTTTTTTGGAAGTCTTATACCCAGGACTGGATACACAGTAAGTGCTCAATAAGTGCTTATACAGTGAATAAGGTTTTTTAAGGCCTCAGAGAATCCCCACCCATCAATTACCATCAGACGATTGCACTGTTCACCAACTTTTCATAATTCCTGCCCCAACCAAGAGGACATAGATTCCCAGCCCTAAAATACTGATGACATGTTTTGCTTTTTTTTCCTCAGGGGTGTAGCACTTCCCAAATAAAAAATCAGAATAGTAATTCATTTAACAAATACTTATCAAGCTCCCACCGTGTGCTAGGCACTCTTTTATAACATGGCATACTCTTTCCCCAAAACATCATTCTCCTACCCTCCCGCTGCTAGGCCCCTGGACCCTGGCCCTCTGGTTAAATCCCTCTGCTGGAATTCCAGACAGCCAGGAATGAATGAATCGCCAGGAGCCTGCTGGGTGCCTGGGGCGCTGTGCCGGGCACTGGGAAAGAGACTCCGCAGTTGGATGCCTGAGGCTGTGTGCACCCATTCACAGGCTCAGTCTCCTGAAGCAGTCAGGGAGCTCCCTAGCTGGAGGGGTGGGAAAGGGATCTGGTTTGTTGTTATTGAACACCCTCTGCATACCAGGCCCAAAGTGTTTGATGGTTGCATTCTACAAGGTCCAAGTGAAGTTCTTCCTCATTCACACACTGCCTTGTGAACAGAGAGCTCACTGTAAGCAGAGCTGGGGAATGGGATGGAGGTCTGTACTCCTGGGGGCACAGACAGCCAGCGCTCTTTGATCACCTTGGCGAGGGGAAGGAGCCCTGGGCTCCAGCATTATACATGGTGACAGTGACTTAGGAAAGTAACTTCTCTGTGCCTCAGTTTCCTCATCTGTAAGGTGGGGATTATGGCACTTTGCACTGAAGGCTGGAGGTTGGTGGAGTCCCTGCGTTAACACAGGTGAAGGGAGCTCTGGGCACTGAGGCCCACACAGCAGCAGCACTCACTGAACGCCACCTGCATGCTCTGTGTTAGACACGAGCCTGAACAGGGGCAGGGAGAGGCCTTGTAGGATGCGATGGGGTGGAGGTCTGTGCGCCAGCAGGAGGCACAGACCTCCACCCCTCACTGAACCCCCCACCCCCAGACGCCTTTATGGTGCTCCTGGCAAGTGTGAAATCGGCACCAGGCCGGCAGGGACAAAGGCTGCCAAGGGGGGCACTGTACATGCGATACTCCCGGGATTAAAGGGGCCTGACACGCTCTGGGCCAGCAGCTGCGGCCCCGAACAGGTGCTGGGCACCACTGCCCTATGCACCTGCTCCACCCAGCCAGCCCCCACCCACTGGGGCCGCCATTAAGGCACACAATGGGTGTCACTGAGGATGGCAATGGTGAATTTCAACAAGCTTTTTGTGTCTGAGCCATGCCTTTACATTAAAATAATGTCCCATGAGAGGAGAGGGAAGGAGGGCAGGGGGTACTCCACCCCAGTGGAACCCCATCAACCGGGCAGGCACCCAGGACGGCACAGACGCCAGACAGCTGGATTTTTATATGTCAAAATCAGTGCCATTTGTGCACCAAGTAAGAGAAATGGGTAGCAATAGTCTGCAGGATGGGGAGGATGCCGGGGCACTTTGTAGGAGTATTAGCGACCAATAATGCCTGCAAAATGCATTACTCACAAAAACCACCCCCGACCCTCGTGGCTCAGAGGTCAGCCCCTGGGCCAGGAAATGCCAGAACTCAGTCTCCAACTGGACAGCTTGACCCTAAAGCTGATAATATGACCCTTGAACCTTCTCCCTCCACAGTCACTCTCTAAAAAGCAGCCCCAAGCCCTGGCTGGGTAGTTCAGTTGGTTGGAGCATTGTCCCGACACACCCAAGGTTGTGGGTTCGACCCCGGCTCAGAGCACACGCAAAAGTCCACCAATGAATGTAGAGGTAAGTGGAGCTACAGATAAAGGTTCCTCTCTTTCTCTAAAAAAAGGTAATCAAGATTTTTAAATTAAAAAAAAAAGCAGCCCCAAACACCAACCCTGACGCTTTGGATGATGCTCCAACAAACTGAGCTACCCAGCCAGGGCCTACTATTCTGTTTCTAACACACCAAGGCATTGTCTGTTTTCTGCCAGGTAAGGTCTTCCCGGGTCTGCATGATAGGATTGAGTTTATCTACTTAAGTGTGGGGGTGGGGAGAGCAGACCTGAGATCCACCATGATAATAACTTAAGCCCCCCTATAAAACGCTACCATAATCTACCTTATATGACTATTCAATCGTGATCCTGAGGTTCAGAGAAGTTAAATCACCTGTTAAAGGTCACACAGCAGGGAAGCAGAACCAATACCAACGACCATTTTTGTGCCTGCTGATCATGCACCAAGCCCGGCCCAGCACTTTTTAACCTACACAGAAACCCCCTGGCCAAAGGTATCTCATGCTCAATTTACAGATGAGGAAACTGAGGCTCAGAGTGAAGTATCAGCCCAAGGTTTGAGGAAGTTCTCTAAGCAGCATTCAGAGCTAGGTGGGGGGCCTCTAACAACATCCTGCCTGGCTGAGGTGGGGGTAGGCTGGGGGGTGTGGGGCAGGGAGGGCCCCTTCACACCTGGCTCCAACAGCAAGGTGTTGGTTGCACCTTCCCCATATCCAGCACCGACCCATTTGGCTAAGCAGCTGAGACTGCAGAGGCACTTACATCTCAGAGAACCAGGCCCCCGAGCTCCTGAGCTACAAGTCAGAAGACTCAGTTTCTACATCTGAAAGTGACAGTGAGGCCAGTCTCACAAGAGCTGGTGAAGAAGGCAGTGGGGACCGTGAGAGGGCAGCCAGTCTGCGGCGACACTCACCGGTGTGGGTCCGGACGTGGCCTTGGAGCAGCCAAGGCCTGGAGAAGGCCTTTCCGCAGGTGCCACAGACGCAGGGCAGCGTGTGGCTTCGGATGTGCATCTTGAGGGCGCCCAGGCTGATGTATTCCTTGTTGCAATATTTGCAGTTGAAGGCCTTTCGGGACTGGGGATCCTTGGCCCCTGAGAGCCCAGACAACTGCTTGGGCAATGGGCCCAAGCCTGGGAAGGCAGCATAACCTTCGGCCTCCAGGGAAGAGGCTGAGGTGGAAGAGAAGGAGGAAGACGCTGGTGAGGGTGGGCTGGGGGGCTGGGAGCCTTTTCCACTGTCCTCGTCTGACAGGGAGGTCAGCTCTACAGCCTTAGGGATCTCCTGGGGCAGAAGGGAGGCCCAGCTAATTGGCTGGGCCTGGGGTGCCAGGAGAGAGTCCCAGATGAGTGTGGGCAGCGAGGCCGTGGGGTTGAGGACCTCAGGAGGCGGGATGGCCGCCAGCAGGTGGGCCTGGTCGTAAGGCTGCTGGAAGGTAAACTCTGAGGAGAGAGAGGAAGGCAAGGTCAGGTGTTAGATCAGTCGGTCAACAAACGCCAGCCTGGTGGGGGCCGGGGGCCGAATGCGGCAGACACTCAACACTTATTAGATAAATCAAAGCCTGGGACAGATAGGTTCCTGCCCTGGCGGAGCCGCCTCCTCACCCAGGTCCTGGTTCTTCCATTTCAGCCTCCAGAGCTCACAGAAAGGATCCCCTCTTTCCAGCCCCAACTCAAGGGGGTCACTCCTCGGAATTCCCCAAGTCCCTAGCCTAAGGCAAGACCCCAGCCCCCAACCGCCCCGGGTCTGCAGCACCACCTGTGCCCCATGCCCCTCCTCATACACATCTCTTCTCCCACCCCCACCCCCAAATCCTCGGGACTCCGTACTCTTCCTAGCGCCTAAGCGGTGTCTCTCCCAAAGAAGCGCCCCGCTCTTATTTCTCACTCGCGGGGTTCTCCCGCCTCTGGGCAGCTGAGAATTGCTCTCAAACGAAGACCGTCGCCCTCTGAAAGCCCTCCCCCAACCGCCCGATCCACCTGCCGCGGGCTCCTCTACCCCTCCTCCCATTTCCCGGTGCCGAGGCCTTGGACTCGCTTTTGGCCCCTTGTCCTTCTCCCCATGTCCGCTCCCCTAAATTTGGGATCCCCTTCGCCTGTCTCCCCCAAACCCCCTCTCCGGGGGCCACGTTCACTCACCTGGAGAAGAGTCGTGCAGTTCGCTGTAGTTGGGCCTCCGGCGGGAGCAGGCAGACTTCCTGACCAGGAAAGAGCGCGGCATGGTGGCCGAAGCAAGCCGGGGTCGCGGAACGGTGCTGGCGTCGCAAGGACCCTCTCCGGCGAGGCCGAGCCGCAGCGATTTGAGCGGAGCTGAGCCTACAACTCCTTAAGTACACCAGGCATAGGGGGCGTGGCCTTTGTCACCTCTGCACCAATCGAGGAGCGTCTTCCCGGAGGACACGCCCCAAGCAGGTGCGCGAGGGGCTGGCGGGGCTCGCGCCGCGTGGCGCTGAGAGCCGGGCGGGGGCAGCTCCAACGTCCGGCTGTGGGCGCTGTGCTGACCGCTCGGCGGCGAGCTGCTGGGGAGGGGCGGGGTGCCGGACGTCGGGAACCCCAGGCAAGGCGGGACCCCCTTAGGGACCCCACGCACCGGCCAGCTCAGCGCGGCGCGGTCGCCCGCCTCTGGCGCCCCCTGGTGTCCGGCGCACTAGAGTCTGGGCACCTGACATTCCGAAACCGCCTCCGCCTCAGGCTTGGGAGGGGGCGGAAATTTCCTCGGCCCGCTGGCGCTTCGCGAAGAGCGTGGGATAGAGGAGGAACAAACACTTTACCGAGGAGGATGGGAGGAGATGAGCGTCTCCACGTGGCTGCTCCAGTGTGAGAATCCACAGCTTTCTTGCAAAGCTAGCAAAATGTATTGGTTCCTTCACTTAAGCAAGTGTTTACTGAACGCCTACCCTGGGCCAGGCACTGGTCTCGGAGCTGTGGACTCAGCCCTGAACAAAACACTCGAGGTCTCTACCAAAGGCTAGCTAGCTCACCGTCCGGTAGGGGAGACAGACGAAGTAAATAATTACAATGCAAACGAAAGTGCGCTTTGATGGGGGATAGGGGGAAGCCACAGGTCGCTGTGACAGTCAAGAAGAGGCAGGTCACCTGACGGGGGGGGGGGGCAGGGCAACTTCTCAGAAGAAATGCAGAAATACTGAGGGGACAGGCCTCAGGTAGAATCAGTAACCACTGCAGAGCCATCGAGAGCGGTTCCCAGGGGTGGGGGTGGGGTAGGCAGGCCGGGAGGGGTCAGATCTGCTGGGCCTCCAGGGTATGGAGGAGTTTGGACTTTGCCCCAAGGACACTGGGGAGCCAAGGAAGGATTTTCAGCTGTGGAGGACCTGCTGGAGTTTCATTGAGAAAGATCACTCTGGGCAGGTGGGAGAAAGTAGTAGGGAAGTGTGGTGCCCAGAGGGGTCTGTCTTCTCACCTGTCTGGGGATCATCAATCCTGCTCCTTAAAGGACCCAACACTAGGCTCCACAGAGGGGACACTGGGGGGAGGGTGTGTGTGGGCTGGAACTGACTGATCCAATGGGGGGTGGGCCCAGGGAAAGGACAGTGGACCCTCACCCCTAGCTCTTCTGTGAGCCCACAGACTCCAGATGGGGCCTTGCCAGGCCTGGGGTAAGGATGGGGGGGCTAACTTGGTTCCACCTGTGAATCAAGGACCATGAAAAGCTGTAAGTACCTTCACTCACCCCCTAGAATGAAGGCAGGGACCATTGTCTGGGTCGATAGGTGCTGGGGATAAAACAGCTGTGAACAAAATAAGCATCCTTACCCTGGTTCTAGTGGGTGAGTCCAGGGCAGGGTGGGGGAGACAGGCCACACACAGGCATTACAAAGAGCATGCTTCTCTCCTATGTCTACATAGTTGCAATCACAATTCTCCTTCCATGTGCAAGCCAGGGCTAGTAAGGCCAAGTCCCTCTGCTCAGACCCTCCCATGCTCCAGTCTCACGCCAAGCAGAAGCCCAAGTCCTCACCACAGCCCTCCACCCCGATCTCACCTCTGTTGACCTTGTCTGGAGCCCCTCCCCCTCCCCTCCCCATGCATAGTGATTCCCCCACCCACTTCTTTCTGTTCCTCACATCCCAGCCCTAGGCCAGCACAAGGCCTTGGCACCTGCCCTGCTCCCTGCTCCCTGCATCTCTCTTCGCCCAGACCTTCACCTGGCTGGCTCTGGCAGGCTCTGTTTCAGCATTAATGTCACCAACTGCTCAGCCTCATTAGTAAGGAGAGGAATGCAAATTAAAGCCACAGTGAGAGACGATTTCACAGCCATCAGAGAACAGAAAGTTCAAATTTGGTCAATATCAAGTGTTGATGAGGATGTGAAGACAGCAGAACCTTTGTTGCATGCTGGGGGGAGCGTCAACGGCACAGCCACTTCGGAAAACTCTGGCGTGAGCTAGACAGGTGACTTCCCAGAATTCTCCCAAGCCAACTATATCCCTGGGCCCCACCCTCACAGACATCCTGATTTGATCCAACTGATAGGGAGGGGGCCTCTGGTATTAGCGTTTTTAAAAGCTCCCCAGGGGATTCTAATGAGCAGCGGAAGTTGAGAACTGATGTCCAGCCCTCAACCCAGAAGAGATGAGACCATTCCTTGCACCCTTGTTCCTAATAGCAAAAAACTGGAAGTAACCTGAATGTCAACAGTAGAATGGGTTGATAAATTGTGATACAATCCAACTGTAGCAATCCACAATGGAATACTGCATGGCAATAACAATGAGCTAGCTACCTGCCCCGGCTGGGCAGCTCAGTTGGTTAGAGCATTGTCCTGACATGCCAATCCTGGTCAGGGCACATACTGGGGTCGACTGGTGAATGCATGAAGAGTTGGACCAATGGGTCGATGTAACTCTCTCTCTGACTTTCTAAAATCAATAAATCAGAAAAATAAATCCTGCCACCTCATGTAGCAGCAGGGATAAATCTCAAAAGCATAATTTTACAAACAAGTATTGGGGAGGATGTGGAGGAAAGGGACCCCTGGTTTGTGGCCGGTGGGGTTGTAAATTGGTGCAGCTACTATGGAAAACAGTAGGGAGGTTCCTCAAAGAAATTTTAAAATATTAAAAAATAGAACCATCACATGACTCAGCAATTCCATTTCTTGTATTTTTCTGAAGAAACTGAAAATACTAGTTTGAAAAGATATATGACCCCTTTCTGTTCACTGCAGCATTGTCCAACCAAGCAACGTTATTTACAATAGCCAAGATACAGAAGCAACCCAGGTGTCCGTGGACAGGCAAATGGATAAAGAGGAGGTGGTACGTATATACAATGGAATATTACTCAGCCATAAGAAAGAATGAAATCTTGCCATTTGCATCATGGACAGACCTAGAGGGTATTATGCTAAGTGAAATAAGTCAAACTGAAAAAGGCAAATACCATATGATTTCACTTACAAAATCTAAAAAACGAACAAAACAGCAACTCACAGATGACAAAGAATTGATGGTTGCTGATGAAAGAGGTGGGGGATGGGCAAAAAAAGGTGAAGGGGATTAAGAAGTACAAATAGCTAGTTGTAAAATTAGTCATGGGGATTTACATCATAGGGAATATGGTCGATAAAAAATATAGTACAATGTAGGGAATATCATCAATAATATTATAATAGTTATGTTACTGGGATGATCGCTTTGCAAAGTATATAAATGTCTAACCACTATGTTTTGCATCTGAAACTAACATAATATTGTATATATGTGTTGACTATAATTGAAAAATAAATTTAAAAAAAGAAAAAAGAGCCCTGGCTTGTGTGGCTCAGTGGATTGAGTGCAGGCCTGAGAACCAAAGGGTCACCAGTTCAATTCCCAGTCAGGGCACATGTCTGGGTTGCAGGCCAGGTCCCTGGTGGGGGGCACTCAAGAGGCAACCACACATTGATGTTTCTCTCCTCTTTCTTCCTTCCTTCCCCTCTGTCTAAAAATAAATAAAATCTTTAAATAAATAAATAAATAAAGCACAGAGGAATGAAGGAATAGAAGGAAAACCACATCACATTGTATACTTTAAATATTACAATTTTATTTGTCAATTATTCCTCAATAAAGCTAAAAGAAAAAACTATAATGTTAAGCAAAATAGTCGAGTCACAGATGAATGCATACAGTCAGCTGGATTGATATAAAGTTCAAAGGCAGGCAAACTAAACCCTATATTGGACGAGAATGTATATGGAGCTAGTAAAACTACAAAGAAAAGTCAGGAAATGTTTACTACAAAACTCTAAAGATTGGTTAGTTGGGGGAGGAGGGGCTTCTGGATTTTTGGTCATGTTCTGTTTCTTAAGCGCGAAAAGATCTTTATTATTAGCCTTTAAACGGAACATAGGCAATTTAATACTTCTAGTATAAATGATATATTAAAACCAAATACAAAATTTAAGTCACTTCCTCGACAGAGCCTGTTCTGATGATCACCCATTCTAGCCAAAGTAGAACCCCGCCTCCCCCAACACCCCTTTTAAAAATCCCATTACCCTCTCCAGTTTCTTCAAAGAGTTTAGCGGAGGCTCAATCCAGTGCTTAGTGAATTGGATCACTGCCTCTACCTCTTCCTGGCACCCGGAGCCAGTCACCTAGCCTCTCCGGCCTTACTTTCCTCCACTGTAACGGGTGGGTGGCTCCCATTTCCCGGAGATGCCGGGATGGGTGACGAGCCCGGCGGCCCCTCGTGCTCAGAAACACCATTGCAGGGCTCACCTTTCCATTTTCCTTAGGCACCTGCGCCCTGGAGGGGGTGTAAGGCGCGGGGGAGGCTTTCTTGGATCTGGGCCGTCCTCTCCCTTCTGATTCAATGGCCCCGCTGTCCCTTCTCCTGACCAGTCCCCACCTCCTCCCTCCCTCACGTTGGCAATGGAGAATTGGGGGTGGAACGCGGCTTTGGGCGAGGCCCCAGGACCGCAGGGGAAGGCGAGGCCGCACGGTGGTATCAGATCCTCCCGGAAATGGGCAGGTTCCGCCGCTGGGCCCGGGCAGACCCGAAAGCCCCGGGCCTACCTCTCCCGCGCCCTCTGCTGGCTGGGGCGCTCCTCGCGACCATCTTGGCCCGTCGCGCGGGGCCGGGCACACAAGTCTCCAACAGGGGTAGGAACTGGTATAACTGCCTTGGGGGGCAGTTTGGGAATATCTAATATGACCAGGAAGAGCCTCTGGGAGGAAGATACATTTGACTACAGCCCTGCATCTTCCACAGGTGTCCATTCCCCAAAAGTGAAAACAGTAACTTTTTTAAAAAATGAGATTTACCACCAACCAACCAA